AATATTACAGTGTTATCTCTACCTGAAACAATACTACTTCTTGAGAGGCAACGTGGTTTTGGACAAACCAAAAAGAAAACAATATAATATATATTATTCATTTCCTACACGTCCGACGACGACCTAGTGCCAGAGTCGAACATTTACAATAAAGTTTTTTTACGTTCCCCAAAAAAATTCTTCTACCAAATTATATTTTTTTGAAATGCCAATTTTTAAAATACTTATATTGAATACATTTTAAAGTAAGTATCTTACGAATTCAGATGAGGGCTAAGGTTACGTTTTGTTTTCAGTTTACCGTTTGAGATTGAGGTTAACAGTTTTAAGGGGTTACGGTCTGGGTCCTTGCTATTGGTAGGGTTGCAATTTAGTTTTTTGTTAGGGTTGGTGTTAGGGTTTAGACACGGAAGGATACATCCTTCCTGCCATTTATCACAGACTGGGCAATACTTTTCTATTCACGTGTCCTGTCTAGGGCATCGATTTGACCTCCAACATGCTCTCCGAAATTCAGCAAAAATATTCTCGACATAACTGTTGATGAAAACTAAGTGCCTCTCTATAAGGCACAAAGAGGAAGTATTAAATACCACATGATCTAGAAATGGTAGATGTGGGGCACTAGGGATGCTTTCGCGTTATCTGCACCGTCAAATGATCGCGCTGACATTGAAACGATTTAGAAGAAAGTCAAGAAGCTCCTTCACCTCAACCATGCACAGCCTTTAACGGAATCCGTAAAAAATAAGGATAATCGATGTCTTTTCTAACGACTTCATTTCGAACCCAAGCTGATATTTTGACCGTTGTAAAGGCCCTCCGCCACAGCATGGCACAAAGAGAGGCCGCAACACCGGGGAGTTTTGTCTACATTAGTGTATAATGCGGTAGCTTTGCGATACATATATCGCAACAACTCAATTTTCATACACCTGGCTCCTATGAGAAGTGAGTTTGAGGCCTATCAAGGATGGACACGGACACAGAGTTTGAAAAAGCTAGGCGCCACGCACGACCTGGCATCGACAGCAGTCACCAGACTTGCATGAGCGCAGACTAATCTCAGATGAATGTCAATATATCCTGTCCTAAACTGGCAAGACAACGAGCACATGGCTTA